ATACACACATACACACACACATACACACACACACACAAAACATGCGCGCGCAAACACATCTTCGCTACGCCTTACGCACTTCTCTTTGCCTCTGCATGTGTTGTGTTCTGGACATGTGTAGAAGGTGTACTAATACACATTATGTTCATCATGTATATACCTGTAGATATGTGTGCATGCGTGTGTGTGTGTGTCAACAGGCAGTTGGATTGGCAGATGAAGTCCTCCGCTTGAACCTCCGATCTAATCTAGCAGTATCTAGCGAAGGCGAGCTCTGCAGCACTTCGCACGACATTACGGCATCAGCGTGCTTCCGGAGCGGGAGGCAGGATCCGGTCACGCTCCTATAAGCACTTCATATTTGTAAAGGGCTTGCGGTTTGAGTGACCACGATCAGAGCAGAACTGACGGTCGCGGAATGCTCGATGCGGAGCCATGGTTTCGAGCTTTGCAGGTGTCCAAGCCAGGAAGTCCAAAGGGGAACCTGCCACGCACGCCGCCCTCCACGCCAACGGACATTCTGTGGGATGGGTTGGGGGGGGGCGGGGGTTGACGGCATTCGTTTCCCACAAGTTCAGTCAGCAAGCACATTCTGCATTTTTGGAATCGCATGGACCCAATATGATCGAGGCGTGCTGCCTCTCCTAGATGTGACCCTTGAGCACCAACATACAGCTTCCAGTGGGTGCATTGTGTGGAGGGGCATCAAACTGGTAGCTGGTCATGCAGCATGCTTACATAGCGCGATCGTTTGGGCCATTTCGCATATGTTGATGTTGGAGCAGGTCTTCGCGGTGCAACTTCTCATGACAGATGCTGATTTGCAGGAATTCTTAGGCGAGGAGCACAATCTCTTCCGCAGTATGCTTCAGGATCATGGTAATTGCCTCGAATGTAACGTGACTCCAGAAACATGTCATGCACATGTGACTGCTTTCTTCCTTGGCCTTCCTGTCCTGACATGAGCTCAGGCAGAGCTGTAGAGCCTTGCTTCAAGCTCAGCCTGCAAGGCCCAAACATAATGTAAACCCTTGACTAATTACCATCATCTCCCGTTCATTAAAGGGTATCGTAGAGATCCTAATAATATGGCCCGTCAACCTTAAAGAAAAAGGGGCTTTCAAGCAAGAGCCTGCATTAACTTCGAATCATGTCGCTCGGAGGAGCTGAAGAAGCCGATGTTGCCGGCATGCGAAGGTGGGATTCACTGGCTCTCATATTCACCTTCGAACTCTCTATGAGATAGGTCAAGGAAGGATACTTGGTATAAATGCCCCAAAGAATAAGATCCCGAATTCTGAGCCGATCTTGAAAACTTCCTGCATTTCGTGTTAGACAGCGGGTTCCTGAAAATCAGGTTCAGGTATCCAGCCGTCTCAGCAGCCGTCATCGCAGCTGGTCTTCCGCAGCTCGGATTAGCAGCGTTGATGTGCACGATGATTTTTAGAAGTGAGTGCATTGGACGGCAGGCTAACGGTGGGGTTCACGTCGAGGGTCGAGTGTCTCAACCCTTGTAGTAACCCTGAAAAGAACCCCTACTCAACTCTAATTTGCACACTTTCGCTGATCTGCACATCACCCCAGGAAGGCACGGTGTGGAGGCACAAGCCGGCGAGGATGGGCCAATGAAGGCTCCTCTTCTGAAAGCTATAGAACGAAGCTCCTCTATGTGCTCGCTTAGGTACAGGGCTTGGGTTTAGCCTTCTTACCAGCCACTACGCCACAGAATCGAGCGCAGAATCCATGTCCCAAACATCATGACGGCCCCATCCCTTCCTACAGCGCATCCATGTCTCAACCATAATAACGTCCAACCAGACCCCATCCGTTGCTGCAGAGCATCCATGTCGCAATCATGATAACGTCCACCCAGAGCCCCTCCGCGAATGGCCAGAGTATTAATTTCTGCACGATGATTTTTTGTTCTGTTGCTCAGGATCTTTCTGTTCTAAGCAGGCTTAGGGGGGTTTAGGGGGTCCTTTGTGCTCCATAAGCCTGGACTTAACAGCCTTCTGCAAGCTTTTCGCACGTTTCGAGCTTATAATTTGGATAGGGTCGGTGCTAATCCTCACGAGCAGTTGTATGATAAAGAGCCGTGGCTCATCTTAAGCACTTCAGCGCCGCATGCATAAAACCCTGAAAGCCTTTCAAGGTGCTGCACCTGCCATGCAAATCGAGCATGCTCACGAAATCGTGCCTGAAGCATGCATACGCTGGCGTGGACATTTTGAGAATAACGTCCACAATGCAGTTTCTGCCCAGTGCGAAGCCTCAAAAGTACTGCGCCTGCCACTGAAAAAGGCACTTGCGTGCGAGCCTCAGAGGGTCGGGTGTGGCATATCGCCCGGTTCGAACGTTTAGTTTACACAATAAAATATTATACTGTATTCTACTAAACTGTACTAGTATAGCTGTTGTTTCTATAACAAAAACTCGTGCTATGCTTACTATACCATACGGTTCTAAAATGTACTGTGCTAGACTGCACTACACTATACTACCACAAGCGATACTGCACTGCATTATGCTATACCAAACTATACTTGTGCTTCTACTATACTGCTTGTGCTTATACTTTTACTTGCATTCTACTATACCTTACTGTGCCACACGCTGCTATTGCATTATTTGGAGGTTTCCGAAAGTAGGGGACCCTAGTATAGCATCCTAAATAGTAGGACCCTAATTACAAGGACCCCAGAATAAGGCACCCCTTATTTTCGGAAACTCCCATTTTGGTTGTCCTCAGCTCTGAACCCAGGAGTTGTGGCTGCTTGAGCCCGATCGGGCCAACAACGGGGCGCGCCGGACGCTCCTCCGTGCGGTCATGCAGGACACCACGAAGACGACTGGTCATGAAGGGTCTTCAAGCGTCATGGGCCAAGGGAGTGCCCCAAGGCCTTCACAATTTGTATCATGCTGCAATCTGAACGCAACGGAGCATGTTTTCGGCGTAGCAAATCAAAGCTCGTCATGCTATCTGGATGATGGGGTTTGGTCCATGTGGGGGAAAGCGCTTCGAGGTCTGAGGACTCTCCGGACATCGGTTTGAAAGACGCGCGGATGAGATGTTGAGATGCCGGTTGGATGTGCGCATCTTCAGTGCCGCGATGTCGAGGAGCCGAAGATGTTGGCCGGCCGTGCCGTCCTGGAGCTGGACTCAGGCAAATTTGTCAGTGCTTTTTCGTAGAAAGCCGCCGAGTCTGCAGTCTACAGCGCCTCAGCTTGCGAAGAGCTGCAATCCAGACTGGATGAGCATGGCCGTCAGGAATAAGGACAAATTGGCGTGTTCAGTTTGAGTGTGTAGACAGCGGAGATATCGCTGACGGCGCTAGGTGCTGGGATGGTTGGACTGGTAGCAGCACATCTGTGTCGGACCATGACCCTGACGGCTGCAGATGCTGCCAGATGGCAATTCCTCTTTGACTGTTTGGTGATCCGTGCTTTGAAGACTTGCGGGTTCAGTTCAGCAAGATTCAGAGGTCCTTTTGGACCTTCCTCCGATTATCTGATATACCTGCAAGGATCCTTACTACAAGGATCTCCCAAGAGGATCTGCTAGTTTCAAGCCTGGTGGAGGTGGCGAAGGGAAGTGGGACACAAGGAGTCTGGAACCTGAGCTCCAGTTAGATTGTTGAAGCTTAAAACCCAAGTTTAGAACCCTACAGGCTCTCGATAGCAATTCCGAGGCCTTAAATCCATGGGCTCAGTTTGCTACCTTTCTTGCCGGAAGAGCTGTAGGTCCAGCCAGAAGGCAAGATGAGCAACCTGAGCCGGAACTGTTTGAGATCGTGTTCGAATGAAAATCACCAGTAACATGACTCAGCAGAGGGTTCAGGAGTTGTACTCGTAGGGTTTACAGGCTTACATGACCCTGCCTGGGGTTTCAGGAGTCCCAGCGTCACACGGCTTAGAGCTGAGGGCTTGTTCCTGCTGCAGCCTTACTTTGTACGTAGCATTTTCAGGCCAGGGGAGCTGTCTTCTAGAAAGAGATTTGGACCCTCAAGCTACCCAACCCGTCTAAGTAATGAAGCCACTCAAGACGAAGAAGGTTGTTGAAGGACACTAAACCCCTAAACCCTAAACCCTAAACCCTAAACCCCTAAACCCCTAAACCCTGAACCCTAAACCCTGAACCCTACTGTGAACTGTTGATCAGCTTAGGAGTTGGGATGCCGGCTGTTGCGCTTCAACGCCCAAAGCCTTCACACTGCCGCGAATGCTTCCGGAAGGACCAAAAGCTGTCAGGCTCTGGGATTGCGACTATGTTAGGCTTGATCTAATTGTGGGCTTAGCTTCATTATGTTATTCTGAAGCTTGTAGGGTGGCCGGTTTGTAGGGTGGCCGGTACTGCATGCGGCACATGCGGCGCTAGGTTGCATGAGGAGCTGACAGGCCTTTCTGGTGTTGTTCTGCGTTGGGTGCAGCCCCGCATGCCGGAACTCGAACCGCAGATTTGGCATCAGTAGGCGATCGGGTTGATGGTCACGAGAAAGGGATTTGAGTTGCAAGTTCTTGCCTGTCAAGACATGGGCTCGAAAGTGTGACTGCAAAACACACCTCCAGGAACATGCCGCGCCTGGAGCGTCTCATTTGTGAGCCCCGAAGCTGCGTAATGTAGCGGCCTAAATAATTACCCATACTATTTTGGGAGGTTCCTCAGTATCTTCATAGTATAATGGGCCCCCAAAACCCGATTAATTATAATCATAGTATAATGGGCCCCTTGCCCCAAAGCCCTATTCTAATTATTCAAGTTCTAATTACTAAAGCCCACAGGGGTGGTTGTCAAAATTATGGTCCCTTTTTGGGTCCTTATTATAATACGGCACTTATTTTTTAGGGTACCCCAAAAGGCACCCTAATTTTGACAACTACCCAAAGAGTAGCCCTAAAGAACCTACCCTTTTTAGGGTTCCTTAATATGGTTTCCTTATGACATAAATCCTTAAGGTAGGTTATTTGGGGTTAAGGTAATTATTAAAGCCTATATAGCAGCCGTCTATCCCAATCCTGCCCACTGGACCTCCGGGAGGCCGCCTCGGTCCGCGGCATCACTGGACGACAGGTTCCTGTCTACGCCTCTTGGACTTCTTAGGGACCCAAAAAAGCACATACGCATAAGCTTTTTATAGTGATATCCCTACCTTTTTGGGCTGCATTATCAGGGGATGTATATGTGATATCCGGATCCTAATTTTTGCTTATGTGCTTTTTGGGGGCCCTAACTTCGAGGCTGGGTAGGTAAGCTTTATCCTTCCTAAGTATAACATGTTTTTGGAGTTTGTATGTATTTGATGTTTTTGGGGGTTTGTATGTATATGTATTTGTCCGGGGCCCTTTAACAACTCAAACGTGAACGCGGGCCAGGGTACTAAGCCCCAAAGTGGGAGAAACTCTTCCTACAGACCTCAGCCAAGCTTGCCTGAGGAGCTGGGTTTCAGTATACAGCGCTTTAATTGTGGGATTAGGCTTCAGGGTTTAGGGGCGAGAGACCGGGCTTAGAGGCCCGAATTGGGTTTAGGGTTTTCGGGGACTTGGAGTCTACACTGGCGAGGCAGGATGATTGCAGGGATTGAAGCCCAGGTAGAACCAAGGGTGGTGGAAGGCCGGGCTGGCTGCTTTTGATTCTATTTTGATTTTGGGGGTCGTCACTTCAATGCCAAGAGAGAGAGAGAGAGAGAGAGAGAGAGAGAGAGAGAGCTGTGGAAGTTGAACCATGACGGTGCGACTAAAAGCCAAACCTGTCACCCCAGCTTTCCCACGAGGCTGCACTGCAGTTGAGAAATTAATTACACCTTCTCGAAGCCCTCACATCTTATGTCCAATGTATACAGCTGTAGTAAGACCTGGTGGAACATGCTACAGTGACAGCTTCGCCGCAAACCCCGTAAAAAGTTTAGCATACGGCCTTATATGACACTGATGAACCCTAAACCCTAAACCCTAATTCCTAAACCCTAAACCCTAAACCCTAAACTCTAGGTCTACTCCATGCCTCATTCGACCTCGGGGGCCGGTGAGCTCGCACGGCAATGGCAGTGGGAGCCTTTGTCTTCACTAAAAAGGCCGTACTTAGGGTTGCCCAGGCGATCGCAAAGGTCCTGATGCAAAAAGGGCATGCATATATATATATATATATACACACACACCAGGACGACTAGGATTCTAGAGCTAGGATTTGCGATTTCTTGGGAGCGCAAATGTAAGCTTCTTCCCACTTCTTCTTGTGCATATTCATACTCGTTGTACAGGACTGCATCACATGAGACAAGCTGGTGGGCAAAGAAGCAGGGTCGACCACTGTGAGTTGTGTCCTATCGTGACACTTGCCAGGGATGGTTTATGTTAAAATTGACAGATTCTCTTTCTCAGGATAGCGGCACAGCAATGCGAAGCATGCGCCCTTCACTGGTGGCGCCACAGTTTGATGTCCCTTGTCAGACTTGTCAGTGCCTGCTTCCTTCAAGAAGTACGGTGCTTTCCGCGAGTTGACGATGCTTTGTCCCACAGCTGCCCGTCTGCTGAGAATATGATCAAGAGAGAGAGAACGGTTCGAATGCTCCCCTTGCCTTGTCCGAGTCGTGAACACGGAAACCGGCACATCTCCAACTTAACACGGAAGGTATCATCCAAAGCGGTGGGTATGTGGGCTTATTAATTCTGTAGAGAGCCCGTATGCTGTGAGCCCAGGTGATGCTGCATGCTGGTCGGATCGCCCCAGAGGCGTGGCATCAGAATGCGTTTGCCCTGGTTATGATTGTTTACATTTTTTGCAAATTCTATTCCCAGAGTATACTCCAAAGCCCTATTCTTTGGACACTGCCCCAGCCCACTAACA